GACAGGATCTTCCCGCGGCGAGGGCAGCCGGTAACGCGTCCTCGCAGCCTCTCGGGCTCATTGTCTGGGCCCTGTCCCGCGCGGGCTTCTGTCTTTGCCCGTGAGGCAATGCTCTGGCTGAAGTGCTGCCAGGCGCCCCTTGGGGCGCGGCAGCAGGCCTGCTTGGCCTGGGTAGTGTCGCCTTAGCCCCTCGAGACCTTGGCGAAGGTGTCGGCGCCTGCCGATTGCTTCTGCTGTTCGGTGTCCTGCACCTTGCAAGCTCTGCTGCGGCCTGCCCCCCTGTCGGTGGGGTGCCGCAAGACCTTCTACCATTCGGGCTGATCCGCGCTGTGTGATTTGATAATATACGAGGAGAAGTAAGCAACATGCATGGACAAACACCAGCTGCAATGCATTCAACATGATGAGGGTAGCGCTGGGCTGGGGCTTTGCAGTGGGAGCCCCCGCTGTCTTGATGAACATCATCGCCTCGCCAGCTCCCAATGCGTCCGCCGTTGGGCCCCGATGCTTGCCAACTCCAAGAAGGATGTGCATTGAGCCCGAATCTGCTCCATCCTGCCGCGTTGGCCTCATCGGCCGATCCCTGACGGTGACTTCTGTCACGCGCGTCCCTGAGGTTCGCGGCGCTGCTGGGCCGCCTCGCCCCCCTGTGGGGGCGTGGCGGTGCCTGCTGCTGCCAGCTCATCGTCTCCAGGGTCTGCAGGGGAGGAAGTGTCGGCACTGGTGGCCCTGGCCTCGTCGCTTCTGCGGGCGACGCGGCCGCGAAACCGTGCTATCCCTGATTCGCCTGAGTCGATGCGCTACCCCTTGGCCGCTCCGCCCCTGGGGGGCGTCGGGAACTTGGGCGCCGGCTCAAGGGGCTCCTCGGGCAAGAAGCTTGCTGCTGGCGCATCGGTGAACTGCCTGGTGAGCACGTCGATGTTGTCATACTGCCGCATGACACGGCCGCCTGTCACTTCGCCCGCTGTCTGATCCCTCGCTGCAGGCTGCGGAGTGAGAGCGAACTTCTCCCTTGCCGCCGCGCTGCGTGGTAACTCGTGAGCGCTCGCTGGCAGAAGCTGCGTCGGCGTCAACGACATGTCGCGCTCCTCCCTCGGGCTGTCCGGGATGTAGATTGTGGGAGGTATCTCTTCCGCCCTCGACGTGGCTGGCTCTGGCTGCTCGGTTGGGATGAAACTGGCCCTGGACGTTGAGGCGAGGTCGTTATCGGCATCGTTGCCGCGCTGCTTGCCAGCCTCGACGTGTTGTCCTGCCGAAGGCCCAGGCGGCGACCACTGTGTAGATTATGGGATTGTCGCCTCCTCTGAGCACTCCTCAACTGCGCCTGGAGGGCTGCCGGAATCACGAGGTAGACCGTGACCTTGATCCATGTGCTGCTGCGGTGCAGGTTCTGCCTCGAATGCTTCAAGTGCCCGCCTCGCTTCATCCTCCAGCACTTCCGCCTCCCACTGCCGCTTCGCCCCCTGCTCTTCTCGCAGCTGTGCAAGCGCCTCCCTGCTGCGTCTTTCTGCCTCCATTGACTGTGACGGCCTGTCTGGGCTGCGCCACCTGCCCCCCGCCCCCCCCTTGCCTTTGCATCTGCGTCGTCGCCTCTGTGCCTCGCTGGGGGGCGAGCGACTGGGCGCGCGTGCCCTGGCCGCGAGGCGTGCCTCAGCGGCGCGTGGTGGCGACAGCTGCTCATGGGGGGGCTGCGGCGTGTGGTCTCCTCCTCTGCCTTGCTGCTCCTCCTTCTGCCCCGCCTCGTATTCTTGTGCCGCCGCCACATAGTCGCCTTGCGACGGCTGTGACTCTGGCAGCTGACCTTCTTCCGCAATGCACTTTACCGCCTGCTTTGTGAAGTCGTAGCTCCCCCAGTTGTCGCCCCTCATCTCCGCGTAGAGGTCGCCCGTCGCGCGTTGCTCCTTCGCTCGGCCTGCTGAGGGGGCCTCCAAGTGTTTGTGCTGCACCTTGAGCTGGCCCACTTCCGACTCCTCCTTGCAGCCTTGCTCTCTGATAGCTGCGAGCTCCTCATGTAGCTGCTGGCTGTGCAGGAGGCCCTGCTGGTGGGAGTCGTGGATGGCCTGCTCCCGAAAGACCCTCTGCTGGCTGGCAAAGTCCGCCATCTCCGCTGCCTCTACCATGCTGGCTTCTCTGAAGTTCCATGCCCCTGCCAGCTCCTCGTTGAGGGAGTGCCCCTGTCTTTACTTTCCTCTATCTGCTCGCGCAGCTGAGTTCCCAGAGCGGAGACCTCCTGTTGCATGCTGTGGACATGTAGTTGGGCATCGTGCGCCGCCGCCTCTTATTGCATCATCCTGTGGATGAGCTGCTGGGCCCCCTCCGACTGTCTTGCAGCTGCCTCCGTCTCAAATGATCTCGCAGCCTCCTCCTCGCGACAAGCTGTTGACTGCGCTTGGGCCAGTGCCTTCTTCAGGGTCTGGACTCCCGCTGGTGCTGCCAGCTCTGAGCTGGGGGCGCGATGCCACCTCCTCGAGCTGGTTGACAGCTGCGACTCTGATCTCCTCGACCCCCAGGCGAGCTGACCTTCTTATCTGTTCTTCGCGTGCCTCGGCTGCCTCTAAGTGGGCTTTTGCTTGTGCCAGCTGCTGCTGTCGCGAGGCCGCGTCAACTACTCGCTGCAGCTGCTCGGCCGTCGCTGGCGGCAGTATGCCCTTGTCCCTTGCTTTGGCAAGCTCGTGGGCTGAGATCTCCCCTGCCTTCTGCTCGGCCTCGATCCTCGTCCTGGCTAGCCCCTCCTGGTGTGCTCCCCTCATGGGTCTGACCCTCTCCTCGAACGGCGTCTCGCGTCGCTGGAGCTGCTGGCGGTGCGTGTCTGCTGCCGCGGCTGACTTGGTGACCTCGTGCTGCGCCTGCTGCGGCGCTCTCGCGGCCCCCTGCCTTGCCTGCGCGAGCTCCCTATGCAGCTGCTCTGGCGGGGCCGCTGGCGCTGCGTGCGCCGCCCTGCCCGCCTCAAGTTGCGCGCGCAGCCCTTCTGCGCGCGGCCTTTCGGCGGCGGCCCCGGTCTTCGCGTGGTCGTAGGCAGAGTTTTGTGTTCGGCATCTGGTCTCCAGATCCATCGAGTGCTTCTGCGAGTGGTCGAACCCCTCCAGAGCGAACTCACGCCTCATGGCAGCAACTCCCCCCAGGTGGCGCCCCTTCATCACGGCTTCCTCCTCTCGGAACTGCAGGGGCGCATCACCTTGCTCCTTCGCCGCTAGCCTGAGCTTCGCTTGCTCCACATTGCGGCGCAGGGCTTGCTCCCTCGCCGCGCGCCTGACCTGCTGGATCTCCGCCACGTAGTGCTCCTCAGCCTCCTCGCACCTTCGCTGCTGCTGGGCCCGCTCCGCATTCGCCTTCGCCACCTGGTCAGCGAAGCCCCGGTTGGTGCTGCCTGCGGAGCTGGCCCTTGAGCGTGGCGTACGCTGTGGTGCAGTACTGGGCCAGCCTGCATCATCACCTCCGGCTGCTTCGCTGGCCAGGTTTCGATCGACCACCGCATTGTGGAACTTGTCCCAGTCCAGCGCGCTCCCTAAACCGTCGGTGTCCATCCCCTCGTCGTCGGCGGCGCCGTCGACGGTGGCGTCCGCCAGCGCCGCCCTGACGTCCGAGATGTTGGGCTCCACCTCCTTGAGGTCCGTCGAGGCCTCCTTGACTACTGCTTTCTTGGTCCTCAGCTCGCTCACCGTCTCCTTCCCTTCAGCATGGTCCAGCGCTAGGTCAGTTCCTGCAACTGCTGGTCTGGCCTCCTGGTGACGAGCCGCTGATACTTTACCATGCTGGTTTCGCGCAGCTGCTCGTGGGCGTGGTCACCGGCAGCTTGCTTCGCGAGGACCCGGTCACCCAGCAGTCTGAGGCGCTGCTCCGACGCATTCAGGAACTTCTTGATACCTGCGCGGTCAAACGGCGGCGCCCGTGACTTCGGATGCTTTGTCGCTTCGTCCTGTGTGCAAGGCGCCACGTCGTCAATCACCTTCTGCGCCTTCTGGTCCGCCTTGCTTGAATTGGCCTGGGCTGCCTTCTGTCCAACAGGTTGGCCATGCTTGCCGCTGGCAGCCGCTCCTCTGCTGGTGGCGTTGCGTCTGCGGCTGCCTGCTGCGGCGGGGGAAGACCATGGCAGCTGCTTCTGCTGCTGCTGCTGCTGCTGCGGCTGGTCCCACCATGAGATCGCACCTGCGGTTGCCGAGCTCCACTGTGTCTCTTGCCCGCTACTGCCACGCCCGCGTCCAGTGCGCCAAGCCACGGAGGCTGTTTGATCGGCTGCCTGACCCTTGCCTCTGGTGCCGCCCCCGACTCCTCATTTGCTATGCCACGCCATCGCTGGCTGTGAGGAGTGGTGGCCAGCGAGCAGGGCGGCAGCAGAGGTGACTCGCAGTATGGCCCTGGCGTCAGCCCTTTTGCTGCGCTGCCTGCGGTGCCACGCGGGCTCTGGTCCCTGGCGCGGCCTCTGGCGCCTGCCCCGGCGCTGACCCGTGCCAGGTCCCGCCGCGGGAGCGCCAGGCGGCTGCGGCGATGGCCCGCCGGTGCGCGCGAGCCCCGGCCCAAGGGCAGGCTGGACGAGGGGGGGGGGAGGACGACAACGACCCCGCCCGCCCGACAACGCCGGCTAGCCCTTGAGCCAAAATGGTTACGGACCCTCCTCCTCCTCCTCCTCCTCCTCCTCCTCATCCTCCTCCTCTTCCTCCTCTTCCTCCTCTTCCTCCTCTTTTTCCTCCTCCTCCTCCTCCTCCTCCTCCTCCTCCTCCTCCTCCTCCTCCTTAGGGGGGATTTGGCTCAGCAGGGGGAAACGTCGAGCCAAAATCAGCGGCACATCGCCGATAGCTCGGCGATCCTGGCGGGGGAGGGCGTATCGTGCCTTCCCTTGGGCTGTTCGCCCCTCCCGTCGCCTCCGAATTGACTCCCGTTTCACGGCTCCCGACCTCGGGGGCCTTGCTCGGCCCGCGCCAGCGTCGGGCCGCCGGCGGCGGCGCCCCCGTCGGGCCCCTCCCTCGGCTCGAGCCTCGGCGTCGTGCGGGCGGGCGGGCGGCCTCGCCGATCAGGCCGTTGACCGCCACGCGGAGCGTCCTGAGGGCCTCCGCGGCGTGTGGAGGGGGCGGCCAAACGAGGAGGAGGAGGAGGAGGAGGAGGAGGAGGAGGAGGAGGAGGAGGAGGAAGAGGTGGAGGAGGAGGTGGAGGAGGAGGTGGAGGAGGAGGAAGAGGAGGGGGAAGAGGAGGAGGAGGGGGAGAATGAGGAGGAGGACGAGGAGGAAGAGGAGGACGAGGGGGAGGGGAGGAGGAGGAGGGAGGAGGAGGAGGAGGAGGAGGAGGAGGAGGAGGAGGAGGAGGAGGAGGAGGAGGAGGAGGAAGAGGCGGAGGCGGAGGCGCAGGCGGAGGCGGAGGCGGAGGCGGAGGAGGAGGAGGAGGAGGAGGAGGAGGAGGAGGAAGAGGAGGAGGAGGAGGAGGAGGAGGAGGAGGTGGGGGATTCTCCGAGGAGGCGGTGGCATTGTTTCACCCCCATTTTGATCTCCCCGTCGAATCTTCGACATTTACGGAGAGTGTCCCGTAAATCTACGAACGTTCTGCATATGTTCCTGGTGCATCAATTGCTGCAGTCGATCCTCTGGTCGAACTTTAGGAGTGTGGAACCCAGGTTGGCCTCGCGCGCGCCCCGAAAGGGCGCGAGGTCCAGGCTGAGAGAAATCGGCCGCCGCCGAAATGATGACGACGACAACGCCGACGCCGACGCCGACGCCGACGACGACGACGACGAACGGCGACGACGAACGGCGACGGCGACGGCGACGACGAACGGTGACGACGATAGACGAAGAGCGCAGCGACGACGGACGACGGCGGTGGCGACGTGAGCTGTCATCGCGTGCAGCTCGATGCGCCGACGTCCCCGAGCGCGCCAGCCGACGTGCTGCCTCGCGCTCCACATGATGTCCCATGGAAACTCGCGCTTCCAGCGAGGAGGCCAGCATGCGTTGCGTTCTCCCGCGGTGCAGCCTCTCGTCGGTAACTACATGATCCCTGCGTCCTCCTCTTCCTCTTCCGTCTCCTCCGGCGGCGTACGGTCTCCTCCAGGCCTCTCCTTCCCCTCCCCTCTCCTCTCCCCCCTCCCTCCCCTCCCCGTCCCCTTCCCCCTGCCTTTCCGCCTCCCTCTCCCCTCCCCTTCCCGTCCACGTCCTCGTTCTCCTCCGGCCTGCCGCGTGCCCGCGCAATCCCGAGCTTTCTGGTCGGGGGCCAGCAGACACCTCCGCTGTCCCCTAAAGAGGGCGGCCCGTCTAAAACGGCCCGAGGTATGCTGGCCAGGGCCTGCAGAATCCGTTACTCGGGACCTCCACGGGGACCAGCACGACCACGTAGCCCCCGAAGCCGGGCCGCCGCCGTCGCGTTCTGCGCGCTCCACGCCGGCTCGCGCGGCGCCGCCGGCCAGTCGCCCCGCGCAGCAGCCCGCGCCAGGGGCCGCGGCCAGCGCCCCGCCCGCGTCGCAGCCCACGCCCAGCACTGCAAGTAGCCTGCCCGGCGCCTCCAGCCCTGGTCGGGCTCTTCCGCGGCAGCAGCAGGCAGTGTCCCTCGCGGTCGCCGCGGGCCGTGACAGCCTTCTCTGCTCTGTGCAGCCCGCCGGCACCCCAGAGCTGGCGCGCCACCTGGCGTTGCACCGCGCAGCCGCGCGCCTTGGTGAGGCGCGCGGCGCCAGCAGCCACTACTGCGCCTCTGCCCCCCAGCGGCCCGAACGAGGTCACGCGCTCGCCTGGATACCTTTCGTGCTTCTTGCGCTCGGCCCTGCGCGTAGCGTCGCCTGGGGCCGTCGCGCCGTCTCGTCGCCGCGCGCAGCTGCCGCGGCCATAGTGCTCGCTCGCGGAGCTGGCGCGTGCCTCTGCCACCTGCTGCAGCCAGACTGCACGCGGCAGCGCTCGAGCTCCATCCCACCCGCGCTGCGGGGAGAGCGGCAAACAACAAATTGCAAGGACGGCGACCGCAATCAAAAAACTCACGCCGGCGCGCGGCCGGACCCCCTCGCTGCGTCACCCGGCACAAGGCTCGCCCTCGCGCTCCGGCGCACAAAGCCAAACTAAGAGGCCAGGAGGAGACCAGACGGGATTGTCTAGGCGCTACAGGTGGCGTAGCATGAGGAAGAGGATGATGATGATGATGATGACGATGATGATGATGAGTATGATGATGATGATGATGATGCTGAGTCTGCTGATGCTGCTGATGATGATGACGATGATGATGCTGATACTGATGAGGATGGTGGTGGTCATGATGATGGTGATGGTGAGGATGATGATGTTGATGACGATGCTGATGCTGATGCTGGTGACGATGGTGGTGTTGACGCCAGTGATGATTATGATGATGATGATGGTGATGATTATGATGATGATGATGCTGATGATGATGATAGTGGTGGTGGTGGTGATGAAGACGAGGAGGGCGATGATGATGCTGACTTTTTCCTCGACGTCAGGACCAATATCTGATATCAAAATATGGTATACACTGAAAACAGACTTGAGAGATCCATCGCAGAGAGCCGACTGTCTCGTGTTGCCCCGCTTGGGCCAGACTGCCAGGGTGCTGCTCGGAGGGGCCTCCTGCGCAGCGCGTGCCTAGCAGCGTCGAAATGCTAGCTGAATAATATTGGCCGCTTCGTCTTCGGCAATTGAACTCAGGTGGGGTGAGGCCTCCACCTCACGCAGCTCCTCTGCATGTGCTGGCACGGCAGGGGGGGGGGATGCACGACAGAGGAGGGCGGGATGTGACCGTGACCGTGCTGCTACTGGCAGGGAGGCTTTAGCCTCGAACAAACATTGACACGGCGTGGACTCGCCTCCTCTGCGCTGTGGCCTGCGCTGTGGCGTGCAGGCTCGCTCTGGCAGAAAGACAGGCTCGCTCTGGCAAAAAAAGGCGGGTTCACTGCTCGAGCGTCTCTAGCCAGTGGCCTACCTCCTCCTCGGGCCAGCCCACTGGGGCCACGCCTCGGTGGTGGACCGCCTGGCCCTCCCACATGGGCGCGCCGATCACCATCTTCTGCTTGGTGTCATCGTAGCGGTGCCCGAGCCCTTCGAGCCCTGGGAGGGGCCCAGTGGGAGTCGCCACGTCGCTCTCCGCTTGGGCGTCGCCCCCCTGTCCAGGGAGAGTAGGCGCAAAGGAAACGTGAGCCGCTCGGATCGCCCGCGTGGGCGCTGCATATACTGCTGCTGGGCGCTGTGCTGCTTGTAGCCGTCGAAGTGGTCGATGTTTAGGTCTGCGTCGTAGGTCGCTGCCCGCGATGTGTTCCACCGACTGGCAGTTGGGCGCGCTTGCATCAGGGGTGTCCTCGATGGCGGGCGAGGGGCGGCATCTGGATGGCGCAGGGCGCGGCGGGGGGGCACTTGGAGTGGCCGAGCGCGTGGTAATCCGTTCCTGGCACGACCCGATGTTGCGCTCGAAGGTGGGGTTTGTCTCGTCGTCGGTGTCCGCCCCGTCGCGCGTTGTCGCCGAGAGGAGGGAAGAGGTGCTCGCGCTGGCCTCGGGGGGGGCCCACTGATCCATCTTGACAACTCGGAGGGCCTCCTTGTCTTTGCTAATCTCGGCGTAGGCGTCGTTGAAAGAAGACGCGCGGTGGGCGCCCGTCTGGAGCCCAGCAGCAAGTAGGCCATAGTCCCAGCGGATGTTGTTGTTCGTGATGTTGGCGCCGCTGACAGGCATCTTGATCTGCATAATCATGGGGATGTGGTCGGCAGCATGTAGTAAGCTACTTAGCTTGGTGTGGATCTTCCAATTCAGCTTCACGTGCTTCACGATTTCCATGAAGTTGTCGTGGCCGATGAAGTAGTTGATGCTTGATCTGGCTTTGTTGTGCCCGTAGTAGGTATTGCCGACGTCGATGTGCATGTTGATGGCTGTCAGCTGGTGCGTCAGGAACTTGTCGTGAATCAAGCGTCCGAGCTCGGTCTCGTCGCTGGGTTGGTAGCTGCCGATTGCGTCGTCGGTGCGGCGCTGTTGTGATCGTCGTCCTGGCCCTTGGTTGAGGTCCGTGGACAAGATGGGCATGGCGCGAATAGGGATGTCGGTATGCGCCTGCGGTACCCAGCTCCATGGTCGGCGGCATCCTGCTTTCCAGTGTTGGTAATGACCTGCTCCGTTCGGCCGCGGCGGGGAATGCGCAGCAGTGAGTCGAGAGCGGAGCTGGCCTCGATGAAGCTCGACGGCACTCGCGCCCCGTAGGTCAGATTGTGGGGGGTGCCGTACCGTGTCGATATCTATCTTGCGGCTTTGGCGCTTGGATACTGCGATGCTGCGGCTTTCTGAGCTGCTCGTGCGTGCCCCGCGACCCCATCCGAAATGGACCCATGTATGATAGCGGCGGTCCTCGAAATCCTGCGGGGCGTCGGTAGTGCACTGGCGGATCTTACTGCCTGCGTACATCATAGTCTGATTTGCACGGCGTGTGTCGGAAACGTGGTCGAGATGCACTGGGACATCCAGTAGTCCTTCGCGAGCTGGGTGTGGATGTAGTGGTCCAGGTGGCAAGTCACGTTCGGCGTGCAATTGTTCCACTAGTAGTAATTCAGGAGCCGCGTGGTGTGATCCTGCATGTGCTGGCCCTCTGTGTTCTGCCTCGGTGTCCTCGGTCTCCGCTCGGTGCAGGTGGTTCCGAATGGCACCCTCCATGGAGCCGCCCGCGTCACACTTGTGCAGTCCTTCCAAGATCGCCAGCGCGAAGGGGGGCGCTGGCGACCCTATCTCCTGCAGGCGTTTCTTGTCATCTGGGGTGTCGCTCTTCCTGAGGGGGGAGTCCAGGGTGTACTTGTAGCCTTCGATCTCCTGCGTGATGGCTATGATCCCTGGGAGCTCTTTCCTCATCGTGTAGGTGTCCGTATTGTTGCTGCCATTCAGCCTGGTCTTGTGCGTCGTCTGAAGCAGCATGTGGCAAGTCACGTTCAGCGTGCAATCGTTCCACCGGTGGCAATTCAGGGGCCGCGTGGTGTAGTTCTGCATGTGCTGGCCCTCTGTGTTTGTGAGGATGTTGAAATTGAAGCTCAGCGTCCAGTAGTTCGGGGTCAGCGTGTCGCAGTCCTGCCTGTGCTGGCCCTCT